GCTTTAATTTTTAAGCCCCCAATACTTATCATCTGCTTTCTAGGCTGCTGGCAGACAAGCTTGTGTAAACTTGTTATGCTTCAGTAATCTCTCAGTTCAGAGGAGACAGAAATGGTAGCAGCACAGGGGAAGCAACTAGGGAATGGCTTGACAATTCTGCTTCCCGGAGTCTTGCCCAGACCCAATTATTTTTTTTCCCCCTCCCTTTTCCTAAGTCAGAATGGGCAATGCCACCTTGTGTGTGCACTGAGCTTCATTTCTAGACTGCAGGGACTGTCAGACAAATGCGATTTACTGCATTTTGAGTTTTGCTAGCCATCAAAATTTAATAGAAGCAGTTCACGTTCTTAAACAATTTTTAAAGTTCTTTAGAGGTTAATTTTTGATGCTTAACTCTAGGCACTCGGACTTGAAAATGCTGTTCTGTTACCTCAATTAAAACACACACACAAGCCAGAAACAGTGGCTTTTTTGTCTTTTTATCCCCCAACTGAAATATCATCATAGGAAATTTAGTGACTAGATCAATATTTCAGTCTGTTGTGGTTTAGCCCCAGCCAGCAACTCAGCACCACGCAGCCGCTCGCTCACTCCCCCTACCCCGATGGGATGGGGGAGAGAATCGGAGGAGTAAGAGTGAGAAACACTCCTGGGTCGAGATAAGAACAGTTTAATAATTGAAATAAAGTAAAATAGTAATGCTAATAGTAACAGTATAATAATGATAATAACAATAATGATACACGAAGCAAGTGATGCACAATGCAATTGCTCACCACCCGCCGACCGATACCCAGACAGTTCCCGAGCAGCGATCGCTGCTCCCTGGCCAACCCCCCCCCAGTTTCTATACTGAGCATGATGTCATATGGTATGGAATAGCCCTTTGGTCAGTTTGGATCAACTATTCTGGCTGTGCCCCCTCCCAGTTTCTTGTGCGCCTGGCAGAGCATGGGAAGCTGAAAAAGTCCTTGACTAGCATAAGCAGTACTTAGCAACAACTAAAAACATCAGCGTGTTATCAACATTCTTCTCCTACTAAATCCAAACCACAGCACTATGCCTGCTGCTAGGAAGAAAATTAACTCTATCCCAGCCGAAACCAGGACATAGTCTCATCATTGGAGTTATTAATGAAATATTGATTTTTTTTTTCTTTTTCAAAATTGGAGCTGCTTTTTACATAAATCTGCCTAAGAAGGGAATTATGTCAGAATGCTCTGGCAACCACATTTGTTGTAAATAAATTCACTGTGTATTTTTCTCACTGTTTATTTTCCAACCCTATATGTTAAAGAACTACACTGTAACATTAACAACTGTACAGCAGATGACATTGGAGTCATGCCATAAATAGTAAAATAATAACTTGTTTTCTTTTCTAATTTCAGGGAGAAGATAGCATACTTCACAAGAGCAAAGATCAGTGTACCAGCCCTTCCAGCTGATGATGTATAATTATGCATTTTCATTGAAGTGTGTTTCCACTTGCTCATCTCTCTTCAGATGAACTTTGTAGTTCCAGTGACCTGCTTTTTAAAGATCTTCTATTTTACATTCGCTATTGATACATTTATTTGTAAAATACAGTGAATTGAATTGTCGTTTGCTTAAAAAAATGGCAAAAAAACCCAACAACCGGAAAACCAAAGTAGATTAATTTTGGTATACTGATGCTGATTTTGTACAGTTTGTATGTATTGCATGTGTTTTATTTTGTAAAGATGGAACAAAGGAACAAAGGCAGTACTAAGCATGTATCCTGTTGAACCGCACTGTGTTGAGAAATATGATGTTCAACAGCAGATTGTTTATCTTTTCACTATTTTCATGTGAGCAGACTGTGAAGATGGCTGTTTTGCCATGCAATATTTTTGTACAAGAGTGTGACTTTTATAGTTTAAAGTTAACCACAAGTGTAAGCTCCTTTCCAAAACATCAAGGCTGCCTCACAACAGCTGCTAATTAGATTCATCACCCACATTGGAATTTTGTTTCTGAAAAGCAATTTCTTCTGTCTTTGTTTTTTATTACTTTGTATGAAGAGCCAGAGTTCAGAGTTTAGTTTTGTGAATGTACAGTACTTTAACCTGCACTAAAAGGTTTCTTGCATCTGCGGGAGAGTGAGAAAGGCAAGGCAGACAAGTAACCCTAAAAACTTAGTATGAGACTACCAAAAGGGGCAGCTGCTTTCTGAACTGGAAGCTGAATCAAATTCATAATACTAACATTGAAATCGGGATAGTTATATCCACTGTACACTTAAAAATCAGAGTTTCTCTGTGTTAATCTTTTGTTCTGGAGGCTGTCTTATTGCCAACTAGGAATACATAAAATGTTTGGTTAGGTTTACAAAGATGAAGATGTTTTCATTAAAGTATTAGTACCAGGAGAAAAATCTGTGGCATACTCACTCAAAGATCAGAAGTCTTGCCGGCAAGGTAAACCCTTTCTGGAAAAGAAACATTCCTGACTAAAAGCCTTCACATATTTCAGTACAATAAATAACATTTTCAGAAATACACAATTGACCCTGTATGCAGTTGAGGGTGCACAGTTTTAATAAACAGATGTGAACAGCACGTTTCAAATTTGTCATATGTGAAGCAGTCTGCTAGGAAGCAGCATCAACTTGGATTCATCCTGTAAGAAGCCCAGAACATTAGCTGTAGGTGTTGAAGCAGCCCTGTCTTGGTAAAGCAGTTGGGGTCTTACCTTCTGTGGGTAAGTGCATGCAAGTAGGTGGACAGTGCAGCTAACAGAATTATTTCATTTTCTACTTTCTACTTAATATGTTGCACTTGGATGCATTTAATTCACTGGCTACCATTTTCTTCCCCAAACAACAAGCCACATATGCGTGGACTTCATCTTTCCAAAAGGCTATAATTACTTGGTGAGAAAACGGAAGCAAATATAACCACAATGTGATAGCAGCTGTCTCAAATTCAAAGTGACAATTCTGTGATGAGAGGTTTGTGTAACACCCAAGGGTTTTATGCACAAATACATCAGTTCACTTCAATGTATAGCCAAACACACTATTTTGGGCAAGATGACTGATTGAACATCCTTTATGAATGCCCGATTTGGTTTTTCTTTCTTGGGTTTGAGATAACACTCATGTTTGAAAGGTCAATTTTTTAAAAAATCTGGAATTATTTAATGTAGAAGTGAAATGAAGGTTGACAGTTTCAACTTCTCCGTTTGATTATATAAGTTGTTTGTAGAATGATGTTTAGAGGTGTACTTTATGATTTTTCTTTTATTTATTTACAGTCTTATTTATGTTCTGTTTAATATAGTTCAGTTCTGGCCATAAAAATATTTGACGTTAAGGATGCTATTGTGAAAAATATTTAGAGCTGTCTAAATTCTTGCCAGATGAGCTGTTTCTCCTCACATGTTGAATAAATTTCAAAAAAAGTATTATTGTCTGATTTGTAAGCATGAGGTGAGGTCAAAATTAAAAGCATTACTGGCTTCAGCTTGCAAAACTCATTTAAAAATGAGCGATTTAAACAATTTGGAAAATGAGCATGAATATGTTTAAGTTGAACAAATTTATAGGCAGCTTCTTAACAATTCTGGGTTTGGAGTTTTGGGGGTTTTTTTTACTAATTCAGATTATTCACATGTGAAACACTCAATAGAATAAGGTAAAATAATACATACAAATAAAACCCCATCAGTTTAAAATTATAAATATTACTCTTGAAGAGGAATTTACTCTGCACAGCAGGGTATAACGAATGTAATCAGTTCTATTTCCAGGTACCAATGTCATTGCAGTTGCATATATCAGAATCTAAGTATTACTGGTACAAGAATATTTAGCCAAATAAGCAAAGTTTAGCAGAAATTGTAATAGAACACAAATCAAATAATTTTAAGTTTTTTTGGTTTTTTTTTTACTATTGCTATGTTTATACTGTATTAAATATCAAATGCTCAGGACTGAACTAAATATTTAATCAGGTTATATTCTGAATGTGTTTCTGTTCTAATTTTGTCTGTAAGAGTATGCAAATACATCACATAGATTAACTTGTCTCTGCACTTTCCATGTGTTTCAGTGATTGGAAAATACATTTTTTAACAAAGCTCTTTTCCAGACCAGTGGCTTATTTAATTCTTTTATTGCTGTTCTGTGTCTTTATATGCTCTTTGCAGAAACAGATGGCTGCTACAGCTTTGTCAATGTAAAATCATTGCAATTTATAGAAAGTTCGCATCAATCACTGACAAGTCTTAGGATAAGTTATATAGAAAGTGATTCATATACTTGAAGTTAGTTCTTTACATTCATTAAGTAAAAACCTGCAATAGCAGTGAACATGGTCAACTCCGCACTGGACAACATCTCATTATTATTCAGCAATACTGGCTTTCCTTGGAGAGAGATTGTGCAGGGATACATTCAGTCATACATGCACACGCGATGGAGAATCTCATATTACATGACATTATGCCTGAGAACATTTAGTTTGTGCTAGTGTAAATGATAATAAGGTCCAGGGAACTTCATTCAAGGTTGTACTGTATTAGGTTTTTGTAATGCGTGTTGAACTGGCAGTACAAACTGTTGCAGGACTTAAGCTAATATTATTTTTGTAAAAAAGACATTGTTTAAAGCAGCCCAGTAGGAGTTCTGCCATTTAAAAGAGGTCAACTCTCCATGCATGCCTAGAGGTTCAAAATTTTAAACTCACTTATCCTAAAAAAAAGAAAACCCAAACAACAAAGCTACAAAACCAAACTCTGCAATTGATCAGATTTTGGAGAAATATGGTGGTGACTTAAGATCTCCATAGCTCATTAATTAATGTAATTAAAATTAAAGGTAAGTAGTGATTAAAGGAACTATTTAGTAAGAAACAATTCCTCCCCCCAATCTTGTAAACAGT